GTTAACTTTTTTTCAGAACTGGAATGAATGGAGTTCAAGGTTGGAAAACAGTTACAAGAAACAATTAATAATTTTCTGACAATTAATCGTTAACAAACTTTTTTAAATCTTAGATTTATTTAGAGGCTGTTGGTAGAAAATCGAAATATATGACGTGGAAGAGTATTCTTCTTAGTAAGATATGACGTTCTGCAACCTTACCCATCAGTGATGCAGCGGAAATATCTAACTACTTAGGAAAGGGAGAGTATATATTGTGCAATAATTGACTTTCCAGTTAGGTTATCTGGTAAAATTCGATGAGAAGTTTACTGATATTCTATATTATTGTTCTCAAAGTACCCTTCTTGTGCGATGAACATACTGAGTGAAGGATGTTAAAGATAGGGATGAACGTCAAAAGTTACAACACTAAGCCAAATGATCAGGTCGTGAACCTACATTGATGGAAGTGCCTGAATCATGTATCGTGCCATTCCGTACGTGCAGTGTTTATTAGGCAGGGCTATTAAAGCTTAAAGAGATATTAATCTACAGAGTTATTGTCGATCCAAGCAGTGCACAGAAGCGTACGTCTATTGATCTGAGTAATAAGTGTCAGTGACCTGAAACCCTAGAAATATTTGTAAGTGATATTCATAACCATAATGCACATATACAATCTTTCTGTCGTCTTCCAAACCCTTGTTCTGACCGATAGCTGGTACCTTGAAGTGGCGGTCGGTTTTGCATATCACATTGACCCAACGAAAGGCACTGACTAGAGCCCTTACTCCCTTGAATCCCTAGCATACCAGAAAGGTCTTTCGGATCGCTACAAGACAAAAAGCAATTACTCCCGTAGTGTAAATTGCTACATTGTGATGGGGGAACGAGGGCGAAGACTTACTGCTGTCTGACCGACTGGAATGTGACGAAAGTAATTTATTCTTCGTGAATGACCAGCAGCAACATATCTATGGGAAGATGTGGTTAGAAAACCTCGGCCCCAAAATAGTACTCTCCTTCTTTTTACCGGCGCCGGTGGTATCTGTTTCTTCTACCAGGCGTAGTCAACTCTCCACCTCAACTTCATCGATTTTGAAAAGGCCTTTGACAGCGTCGATCGAGAAGTAATTTGGAAACTGCTTCAACACTACGGTCTTAGTGTCACAAACCTTTACCAACCTCATTCAACAACTAAATAACGACGCTACATGCTAAGTGGTTCACAATAAAAAGCTGAGTGATGTCTTTGAAGTGAAGACAGGAGTAAGACAAGGCCTCCGACTATCATCACCGATGATCCTCCTGATTGTGGTCGACTGGATCATGCAGCAAACTGTCAGGAGTGAGAAGAGGGCATGGGTTGCTTGATCGATGAAAAGACCCCAGAAGAAGATTTGGATTTCACAGATGACTCGTATGTAATGTTGCTCAAACTCGAAGATCCGCAGACAAAAACTAACAATTTGACACAAGAGGTAGGACGCCAAAGATGGGACTTCCTTCAGGTGAACGTAGAGAAGATGGAGGTGATGAGGATACCCAACCAACAACAACAAGCTCCAATCACCATCAATGCGAGAAACTTAAAGGAACTTGTCTCTTTCACCTACCTACCTAGGCAGCATCGTTTCAACTACAGGCAACACAGGCACAGATAACGATGTCAAAGCCAGCATCGGAAAAGCAAGACAGGCTTTCATTCATCTGAAATCAGCGTGGAGATCTACTCCACTCAGCATAAAGCGTGAACAAGATCTGGATTTTTAACACCCATGTCAAGTCAGTGCTGCTATATGCTTCAGAAACTTGGGACGTCACGAAAAGCATTTCCAACAAACTACAGACATTCATCAACAGCTGCCGTCTACGCTCACTTCATACTGAAGATCAGATCAGATGGCCAGAATAATAAGAATAAGCAACAAGGAACTCACTCTGACTGGCAACGAACCAACCAAGAACCATCGCCCAACAAATATTCAGAAGAAAGTGGATATAGATTTGATTGGGGATACACTGAGAAGGCCGACTGGGGACATAATGCGCCAGGCCAGACCGTTGAGTAGAATTCAATAATTGTAATTATTGTCTGAATATCTACTATTTGCATGCTTCATATCCTAGTAACTACAGATTAAAGAATCCACCATGATTGGTTTACTGTTTTATATATGAGAGAATTTATGTATATTAGCGTGAAGCCTGATGAGAGCTAATCGAAAACAATATTGTTCGCTCATATGTTTTCTTCTAAATATCTTTTGAAGAAAAGTAATCCTTGAAACAGAAAATACTTATGGGTGAACGAATAAGGACATCTGTTAGATCAATTAGTGTATGTGTGCATTTATGAAAATCCGTTAAAATAAATATATATAATTCTGTAACGAGATCATAAAGGTCTAAACTTTCACATAATTTCGTTTCAAATCAATGATTATAAATGGCAGCAAAAATTTTATAATGACGGATAAATTTTATCCAGACTCAGCAACAAAGGGCATGTTCGTGCTAATGATACTACCTGGCTGTCCAAACCTTGGTGGGTAGAGTAGGATTTGGAACCGAATACCCTTAGTTGAAAGTCAACTGCCAAAACCAGTGAGTCACAACTGTTTCCATATATATGTGTGAATGAGCAAAAATAGTTAGAGGAATATTGGGATAAGTGAATCGTAAATATGTATGAAAACAGAACAAAACAATCGGTTCAAAGACAACTTACTTTGTCCAGTTGTAATGGAATTACGTGAGGATCGACATAAAAAGGTGAAAAATATACGAGTGGCTAGGAGCCCAATTGTTTCAAAATAGGTTACTTTAGTATAATAAGTGTGAATGCACCTGCTGCTTAATAACCCAGGTTGTTATAGCTTTTAAACTTTGAAGGACTTTAAACCCAACAACTTTTAGTAAGTCTTTCGGAACGCAGTAAAATAAGACTGATTGATGCTAATGTTAAGATTTGTTCAAATTGAATAGTCTAACAATGAAATACCTACAAGTTTTACAGCATCTTAGCTTAGTCACACTGAAAAGTAAATTTTTAAAACAATGGATGACGTAAATGGCTCCCAACAAAAATGTAAGTAGGTAAACATAATAGAAACTAGTGAGTTTGGGAAATCTATCCTCCAATAACGATGCAACCACTAGGTGTGTGGGAAAAATTCGTTGATTTTTTCAAGCATTAAAAGTTTCTTGGCTTGATCTTTGCAAGTGCTGAGCCAATATCCATCTGGACATATGATCAGTTTTACACATGTATAACAATTCATTGCTTGCAGCTGAAATATAATTTCCTACTACTTTGCAATGATACGCATTTTTTATGAATCTATCAGTCAATCAGTTTCCAGCTATTGTCACATACAGCCTTCAACCTTTGTTCAGCAACAATTTGTAAACATACAGCGCTTAAAATTGAATATTTTTACTGGATCCCAGTTGTAATGGAAAAGTATAATGCCGAGAAAATGAGTAAGATATGCCACCTATCCAGACACTATTTAAATCAAACGTTTTCTTAATGACCGATGTTTCTTTCTTGTGACAATAAAATCCACAAAATCTACTTTATCTTCATATTCTTCCTCACTTTAGGGCTGAATGTGTATTTTGGCAACCTTCAAATCTCACATGAATACATCAACCATACAGAAACAGTGATAGGCAAACCTAGTAAGTGGATTATACGAAATTGTTCTGAAATTTAGTTGAATGGTAATTAGTTTGGAGCCATCTCCTTTTCAGTACGACTGAATCCTGATCAATTTTGCTACCTTATTAGTTTAAAAGTAATATTAATGGCTGAGGCATTAGTTTCAAATATTCGACAGAACATTAACTTCCTCGAATTTATACGTATATCATGATGAGTTTCAAAGAGAACGAATTGAGTCTAAAGCTTACCAAAGATTGGCTTCAACCATCAAGTAAAAAACAATGAAATGTTGAGTAACTTAGCTCAGTGATCACAACACGTCGTATATTAATTCAAAGAGCTAAGGCTTAACGAATTTAGTTCAACTCTGTAAAGGCTTGCTTATTAGATAATGAGCCATACTAACTGTACAAAGTCTGGAGGTCAGTGGGGGATTCTAGAACTTCACTGCAGTAGAAGCAAATCTTATTTACATGTAGAAGTGTTGCTCAGAAGTCTAGGTAACCAAACACAAAACATCTGACCATGGGTTCAAACACACTCATTTACTTCAAACTAGAAGACCCTGAAGTATAATTAGTCTTCACAAACTGTGTTGCTTATTGTCTAGCACAAAGAAATGTACTACGTTGATAAGGTGAAGAAACAACAATATTTTAAATAATGCAGAAGCTAACGATGTGGAAACTCAACAGTATCTTTCAGTGTGCCTTTTAATTTTCCATGTATTGTAGTACCAAATAACGCTTTATTTGAATATCAAATTATTATATAACTGACCCTTTTTGTATGACTATTTCTATAGAGAATCTACCGAAAGAGAGAATAAATACGACTGAAAAGTTTCTAGGGAAATTAGAAATGCAGTACACATCCGAGATGAAACATGTTTTCTACACATATTCGGTAACGTAATAGCATTCTAACACACTCGTAAGAAGTATAATTTAAGTACATGATATGACGCTCCAACCCAATTTATTCCGTGTTAGGTGTTAGGAGTCAATCAATATAACACTTGAAAAGTATAAAAATCATTTTATCTCCGATAAAACTTTTCAACAAAAAGAATACTAAAGTGTAGTAGTGAAGAGAACGAAAGCCAGCCCCACCAACAGTAGACAGATTTCATAAGGTCAAACTCTCTTATTTTGTTTGTAGTGTATTCGTAATTTTTAAGCATACAGTACTGCTTCCCACTGAATACATCAACAGTTCGTTGAGTACTGTCTAATCAATAATGTAAAAAAAAAATCAAAACAACCGATATGCAGCTCATTAGCGGCTGAATTATATTTTTAAAAATGGCTAATTACTACGAAAGAAACCTAAACGCAATAAAACTTACATCATTTTGTCTGTTTGCTGATAATGTCCGTTCATTTCTAAAGTCCACTTGATTTTCTTGATCTAAATAATAACATTTAAACAGTTATGTTTAAATAAACTGCTTCTGCATACATAATTAGTGTTGAATGAATGAAGTTATTTAGTGTGACCCTTTCTTACTATAGAATAAGCAAATCGGAAAGAAAGATAAGAGTTCTCTAGTGACAATGGACAATTGTCATGTTATGCCATGTACTAAATGAAATTGAAAAATATGATGTATTACACAAATCATAAATAATTGGGTCGTTTTCTGGTTGTTATGATACAAAAAACATTTGAATACGAAAGTGTATATTTCCGAAGAATTCCACTGCAGAATGATGAATCAGCTACATAGTCTTCCTTAACAAGTAGCTACTTTCCAGTTGATGTTAATCAGTCTGTAACAGAGCAATATTAAAATAAACTTTATTATGAGGCAAATTCTACCATTCATCTGTAGAACAGCATAGCAGTATGAAATGATTTGCTGAAAAATGGATAATGCATCATAAAAACGTTTAGAAAAAAAAAAGACGAATGGGAAAATATAAATGCGAAAGCAAAAAAAAAAGTAGTTACAACAATTTAAAAGCAAAACCAATGAGAATTTTAAAATGATCTCCAGATGAATGATCCATAACTTATATCACATTTAATAGGTTTCAATTTGAAGAGAGTTGAGAACAAAATTGTATAAATTTATCAGTGACATGATACTCCTAAAGAACTGAATAAAATGAATCAAAAATAACCATCTGTGTACATCAAACGCCAGTAAGGCAGATTAGTTAGTTGATACATTGAATTGCTGCTACCGTGAGAGCAGATTGGTTAGCAACACAGAAAAAAAAACAAAGCAAAAGGAACCGAAGGAAAACGTAGCTAGAAGATGAGGATGAATAATCTTTACAAAAATAAAACTCAGTATGAGCTTGTAAAGTTTCAACAGCAATTTGTCGAATAAACAGTCTCATAGTGTTCACATTTGTTTGTTTTTTTATCACTATCATGTAGAAATACGAAAGATGAACATTGATAGGTTATATGTGAAAAAAATACGAAAAATATTTAGAATACTGGTAAGGAGATTCATCATTTTTTTATGGATGAAAAAGGCGATGAGATAGACTACACAAACTACACCAAAACTGTTGTTGTATTCACGAAATGCTTTACTTTATTCCAATTAAACAAATTTATTTTGCAGCAGCAGAGAAAATGATGATGATAACTATCTAGGATTATCTGAGCCTTGATATGCTATCACCAAGCTTAGTGACTTTATCAACACTTTCTTTTATGAAAATACCTAGTCTAGTAATAAGTATACCGATGACCGGGTAAAAGCTCTGAAAACACTGAACACTCATCAAAAAATCTATTCTGACCATGAAAGTGAATGCTGACAAAACCACACATATGAATACATTGCATAAGGGTCTAGAAACGAAGTCAGGCAACTACAGTGAAGCATCTACATAAATATCGATATTTTTTGCGCTTTTTTGTCTAGATAACATCAACCATCCACAAAAATTAGGAAAGCTGAAACGAGCTGTTTATGTTCATAACCAAAAAAATACTGAAGGCTGGAAAATATATTGCTTCATTATTTCAAAAATATGAACAAAAGAAACGGCATCAAGATCGAACCAAACTTTTAGATGTTAAAGTTGCAAATCATTAGAGATGAGTATCCCTCTTAAAAAATATTCAGTTGTTTCCAACTGATACAAGGAATTTTGAGGGAGTTGTGGAGATTTGGAATTATTTCAAGTTGTTATTCATCGTAGACTGACATCAGTTGGAGGAACAAAGGAAACCTGGGGGCACTGGACAGCTGTTTCGTCCTAGTATGGGACTCCTCAGCAGTGCGCACCCACGACCCCACCAGCAGGGATCGAACCCGCGACCTTCAGGTTCCGCGGCCAGCGCGTTACCATTGAGCCACTGAATCAGAATCCAATGCTCCATATTTCCAACTTCTGTTAGCTCACGATATATAGCGCAACAGCGAACAGAAGTTGGAAATATGGAGCATTGGATTCTGATTCAGTGGCTCAATGGTAACGCGCTGGTCGCGGAACCTGAAGGTCGCGGGTTCGATCCCTGCTGGTGGGGTCGTGGGTGCGCACTGCTGAGGAGTCCCATACTAGGACGAAACAGCTGTCCAGTGCCCCCAGGTTTCCTTTGTTCCTCCAACTGGTGTCAGTCTACGATGAATAACAACTTGAAATGATACAAGGAAGTAAATAATTAAAGACCATAATTCAAAATGATGAAAATTATGGGCATAACGCTTACAGCTAAAATCAATCATCCAGTCGAATATGAACCATCTGAAATGACAACATTTATGAGACTAATAACCAACTTGGACGTTAGAGGGGATCAGCAATCTAATCCAACTTTTCCCCAGTCGATACCCGCAGAATAGTCTTTTGTTAATTATTCATCAGTAGCAAATCAATCGATGCACTACAACCCATCTACATCAATAAGCAACATATGACATTCAAAAATAAAAATTCAGTAAAAATTCACCTTTAGTAGGTTTCTTCATTACATGAAACCATTTTTTATCTGAAGTGCATTTCTGGACATTCTCTTCACTTTTATCCACAAAACGACCAGTTGAATCACGGGTGACAAGATGATCAATATCCGACTTCGAAAAAATTTAAAAAGTTAAAATAAATAAATAAATATGTGAATTTCAAGGGTAAAAGATTTAAGTGCACAGACCTGGAAAAGATTATCTCCACCTATTGAGAGTAAAGTACGCCTTCCGTACAATAAACACAAGACAAGACAAATGGGAAAGGAATCTGGTGATACTGAAAGAAGTGAAAGACAGATATGCAGTGGGACAGTAGTCGTTAAATATGCTACACCTTGCACTAAAACCATCATTTGCAAAATATGCTTCATTTCCTCTTCTGACTCTTTCTTGATTTGCTTTTGATACGCCTGCATTGTCTCCCGCTTTTCTCTTGGCGGAATCCTTAACCACTACTGGTAATTCCCTATGATTTCTGCCACCCTCTCAACATATACTACTCATATCCATTCTTATCAGCAACGCCCACAACTTGAAGAGGAATAAATATTTGAACTTGTGCACATTAGAAGTGGAGTAGCATCAGCAGAAAATCTATCGCTTGTCTTCAGCTTTGTCTCATCAAATAAGTAGAAACGTATAATTCCATAAGACTATGAAGAACAGCTTTTGCAGAATAAAACGCATCCATTTGGTCTCACAGTTTCTCATCAGCTGCTTACAACCTAAAACAATTTTAACATCAGTTTACATGAGTGTTTGCATACTTGAATCAGTTAGATAGAAAATTGTCAGCTTGAATTAAAGATAACATCGATATGATGTGATTGAAAACACGAATTGAGTGAATAAATATGCAGAGCTAACAGTGAGTTTGCCAGTAGATAAAAGTATTAGACGAATAGTCTAGAGCGGAAGTGGGATAAGAGGGGGAGATGAATGTATTCAACATATTGAGAAAGGTTAGACAATATGCGTAAAAGATTTATGTTAACTAAGAACTAATGTGAGTAGAATTCAGATAATTACGTTAAGAGTGTGAAATGTAAAACAACAAAACAAACCGACTTGTATGTGAATTGAAAATGATATGTAAAAATCATTACGATTATCAGCAAAACAAAAGTCTTCCCACAGTAGGCACTCTTTATTTCTGATCACACAAGTTCGGTTTTAATCGTTTGATGGCTAACGCTTCAGCGAAATGCAACAAATTCGAATTTATATATTTATTAATTGTTTTGACCGATTTCTGGATATCCACTTCATGTCTACTGTAAGTTTCACTTCTTCGCTCTCGGAATTCACCGAACTATACATGGTGATACAATGGGAGGTATATATCGCAAAGATTCTTGGAGTGGAATGTAACTTAAATTCAACAGCTTTTATTTCATTAGTCATAAGAAAGGGCTGGTGAAAACACTCTTCAAGCACATAAGACATCTTTGTTTGAAAGAGACATTGGAAGAAGAGATGAATGTCGTTGAAAATTGCCTCTGTGATGACGGATATCCACAGAAGTTGATCAGTGAGCACACAAATGTATCGAATAAAACCGTAAAGTGTGGTATGGTCGAGAAGCATGTTTTCTTAAGTCTTGGTCTCCGAGGTGATAATTCTCGGAGAATTATTTGTAGAGTAAATGCTACCTCGAAAAAGACTTATCCAGCTGCTAGGTTAGTCGCAGCCTACCTAACCAAGTGCTCACTGAGACGATCAAACAAGTTCCATCTTCATGTTACCTCTAACTGAATCTAACGATTCGTATGTACATGGCAAAGCATATATATTGGACGAAAAGAATGAACGGTTTGTGATCGCATGTTTTAGCATATTCCAATGAAATTTGAGACTGAGAGGTGGAAAAGTCTTCAAAAGCGCTATTACCGGTCACCTTATTGGTAGTAGACATGAGGTGGATATCCAGAAATCGGTCAAAACAATTAATAAATATATAAATTCGAATTTGTTGCATTTCGCTGAAGCGTTAGCCATCAAACGATTAAAACCGAACTTGTGTGATCAGAAATAAAGAGTGCCTACTGTGGGAAGACTTTTGTTTTGCTGATAATCGTAATGATTTTTACATATCATTTTCAATTCACATACAAGTCGGTTTGTTTTGTTGTTTTACATTTCACACTCTTAACGTAATTATCTGAATTCTACTCACATTAGTTCTTAGTTAACATAAATCTTTTACGCATATTGTCTAACCTTTCTCAATATGTTGAATACATTCATCTCCCCCTCTTATCCCACTTCCGCTCTAGACTATTCGTCTAATACTTTTATCTACTGGCAAACTCACTGTTAGCTCTGCATATTTATTCACTCAATTCGTGTTTTCAATCACATCATATCGATGTTATCTTTAATTCAAGCTGACAATTTTCTATCTAACTGATTCAAGTATGCAAACACTCATGTAAACTGATGTTAAAATTGTTTTAGGTTGTAAGCAGCTGATGAGAAACTGCGGAACAAAATCCATCCGTGCTGTCTTGCGAAATCTCTTTTCCTCGCTCTACTTACATCTTTTTTAAGGGAAAGAACTGTATTTATGTAGTTTCATCACGGTAAGATACACGATACCACTGAAAATTTTGCTGAAAACCTGCCATGGGAAAAAGCTATTTACGTAAGACCTGGCAGAATAAATGAGCACATTGGTTTGAATAAACTGAGATACGACCCAAACCGGGAATTAGAGGCAATGACGTTACAGTTTTATTGCAATTTCTATTTTTCGAAAGTGATATGAAGGTGCTGAGAGCAACTGGAAATTGAAAGAGAGAGAGAGAGAGAGAGAGAGAGAGAGAGAGAGAGAGTAATTTGATACTGAACTGTTTTAAAATTACTTTTTATGATAAGGCAACTAACGCGTATGAAATTGAATGTAATATATCTGAAAACTGTACTATAGACGAAATAACTCTGAAATAGGTCTGATATGAGTACAACCAAACAAATAAACGTTTTCCAATTTTCATTATAGCCTATGTTTAATCATAGGCATAAAATTGTGAACTGCATAGATGCAGCTGGAAGTTAGAGATACTGTACGAATCATAACATCTAGTAGATGTTGAATGCTATAATCGTTAAATGTGAATATAAAGTACGTACAAGGTGACCTTCCACGCACCTTTTCTTTAAAAGAAGGTAACATTTCCAGTATGTTAGAGTACCTTATTTTAGTAAGTATTGTATGCAGGGAAAAAAAAGGATTCTTAAATAAGTTATTTCTGCTATCGGTCTTAAAATTTAAAACAATAAATCTGTTACAAGTTAGAGAAAGTTCAATATTCTGACTGGTCTAGAGTTAATTGAGATGCGGACAAACAAAATTGAGAACCACTCCTTGTTACGGCAGTTAGATATAATGCCAAATGAATGCATTGATAAAGTATTTATTATTCCTTTACATATATCATTAAGAAAGCGTTTATATAAAACTGATAGGTCAACTGTTAACACACAATGATATTAGTCATTACTCAAAAATGCAATGGGAAAAAATTAGGCAAACTGCAATTAAATGTAGATTGTGAGAAAGCAGAACTGATATTCAACTGGGAAAAACAACAACAGAAAATAAACCAAGAATGCGTAATTTTGCATAATGCGATTAAATTATGGTAGTTTACTGCACTTGTTTGCTGAATACGAACACTAATGTTTGATAGTTAAGTCTAAACATACTTCACAACGGTGAAGCAAGGCATGCATGAGAAGAAGATTAAGTGGATCTATACAAAGAGAGAAAAGTACAATTTTTCGAATTCAGGAAATGGAAAACGATATGGTTAAGAGGACTTCATATGAGCACTTTTAGAAATAATTTGATCGAGAACAGGTAATTGAATAAAGATATAATTCGGAAAAGTAAAATTAATGCAAAAGGAAGATTAAATATGAGTCCAATCCAATGACTTAATTTTAGATATAACAAGAAGTAAAGGTAGGAAATTACCTTACCTAAAACAGTTAACATGGCAGCTGAAGGTAAGCCACTGATTAATTTAATCAAAGTTAAGCTTTAACTTCCTAGCTGCCATATATCCTCAGAGCAAAGTGCGTCTGAGATGTGCTTATTTTCAAAAGATAGAGCTTACCTGAGTTATTAGTCATTCAATAAAGGTCCCACATATTTCGTGCAAGAAGGAGACGAAAACTATCAAGAAAGAAATTAAATTTCGCCAAAATGGATTTCTCAGGGAAACAAATCGATTCCCTAATAATCAGATTACTTTAAGTACCTCAGTGACTATTTTTGTCAGTGTCATGAGAAGTGCTACAGATATAGCATACTCTCATTCTCTTTTTCTAAGTCACACTGGGAGCCAGTAAAATTGTTAGTGCCCATCTTGTCTTGGTTTCAGACGAGAATGCCAAGGATAAGGTGAAAGTTGATATGGTTGGAGCTCTTATTGCATTAGTATCCAATTCATAACGACTTGATATGAAGTGGTTGTGGATACTCTATATACTAATTTCTGAGTCGAGATTCCATCAGAACAGGCTATTGTTTAGAACTATAAAGGTAACAGAGTTCCTAAAGTCCATGATTATCACTTGAATGCACTGAAGCAGTAATTTTAAAATGTTTAGTAGTCCTGTTATTTCTCAAAAACAGGAGGTAATAAGCATAAATTAGGTAGAAAACTAATTATGGCAAAATGCAACTATAGCTGAAATGCATTCCTATCTTGTAGTGTTCATTTCTTAAAGCATCTAGAAAAGCATTCTTCTAATATATATATATATATATATATATATATATATATATATATATATATATATATATATATATATATCCACCGATTTTACAACACTTTTGAAGAAAAATGAGAAGAACCAAAAGTAAAAAGCAGAACCAATAAGGGTGGAAATAAAATATTTTAGTGAAACGAAATATAAAGATAGCATCTATCTGAAGCCCTACTGGATACAACACAAGCAGCACAAAAACTAAAATAATAATAACGTGATTACCATCTGTGTTCGATGTTTATAACCGGATGACTTGAGCTCATTGAGAAAACCATAGTCATCTACATGATCTGCCTTGTCGCCGTCCTGATAAGTTTTGGCTTTGACCACATCGAATGTCTTCGTAACTACACTGCTTTCATTCCCATTTTCCCTGGTAAAGTTGAATAATTACTAATTGTTTACTTCAACACAACTGTGCCAAGTTAAATGACTAATATACAATTCAAAGACCCTGGAGGGAAATATAACCTAGGAAAACGTCAAACTGTCAAAAATGTTCCCAAACTCACTAAGCACATAGCACTGGAAACTTTCATGTTTCTAACATTTCACACCAAAAGCCAAGTTGTAAGTTCAACGTCACAAGTGTAAACATGGTGTTAAAAACAGTAAACTATCGTCTTCAGATTTAGAATACAAAAACCGCTCTCTACAAAGACTGAGTACTCAAATGAATAGTATGAAGGAAATATCAGAGACCAAGTATATTCTGAGGGGATAGAAAACGTCGCTTAATCACTTCCTAACTGGACAAAACATTAACCTATCGTGGATCAGTGTGTATATAAAGCTTTCTGCATGAGAACCTACATGCGTGAAAAGTCTACATGGTTTTCTTTGGGAAGCTGTTGGATTGAGGCAGTAATCCAACCGAAACTCCTATGAAGTGTAATAGCTCAGACTTTTGCACAATATTCCACGGATTCAACTAAGTCTGGTGTTGGGGAAGACTAAAATGTTAACTCACTTTTGCTATCACTTAGCTAAATATAAATTCGACATCCTCTGATGACTACTCAGAGATCAACATGGCGATTTACTGACCTTTCGCGTCACCTAATTAATCAGCAAATAGGTAAAAGGAATGAATGCTACTATTGCCTACAATTTCCCGTCATTGATGGGACCAAGTCGGTCGGCCACCACTGACACATGGATTCCTGCGTGGATGCCACGATATGCTCGGTAGTTCTAGCTTGATAGTAATGATGCATAGTTGCTAGCAGTGGAATCAAGGACGCGCGTACTTTCCTATTTGGGAGTCCTCAGCTGGATGTACCTACCTGCTAGTGAGTGTTTTTCCTACTGAGACTCAGGAACAATCACTCCGAATGCCAGAGCGTTATCTATTAGGCCAATGAATACCGACGGCCATTTGTTTTTCGATGGGTATAGTTTAGATGCTATTTCTTCTAATTTCGCGTCACAGATCGGCATCATTGGCATGTGGGCTCCTGTGGATGGTTTGATATTGAAAGTAACTTCCAACGCTAGCTACTAAACACCATTACTTTGAAACCAGAAGGAATGCCCAGTAAATACATATGCAGCAGATGGTCTTATCTTTTTTATATGCTGTCATCCACGGAATCGGTAGAGAGAAAGTATTGGCCAGCAACACAGTCACCAAAATGGATGGTTCCCTCATAACCTTTGAAGAAAAGAGGCTGGTAAGTTTGGAAGAACATTGAAGAAAATGTCATCCGGCTAAAAATCACACTTCAGTTGCTCAACATGCAGGTGGAATCTGAATGGGTTGTAAATAGAGGTTATCAAACTCCCAACGAAGTTGAGAAGGCTGTTATAAACAGGAAAATATGCGAAACAGTAGAACCTGACAGTTTGCCACCAAACGTTTTTAAAAACACAGGTAGATAACTACTGAGTGAAGTTACTGTGGTGCTAATAAGTATATAGGGACTGAAAGTTATCATGTCAAATTAGTCTGACTCGAGATTGTAAGTGATGAAACAAATCTCCCAGTAACGACTAATGGGAGGCCAATTTGACTAGGACAGTGTTTAAGATCCCATAGTCATACAACATTGAGCTGAAACTCGAGAAAGTTTGACAAGTTTAAAGCCTGGAAGCGGACACATCGACCACACTTCCATACTTCGATAGGTGTCGGAACGCCAATATACTTACCGGTATCAAATACTTGCAACATTTCTGACCTGAAAGTGGCATTCAACCTCGTGAATCGTGCTGTGGCAATGTGAATGTGAAGGGGATACCAGGAAAATCCGGAAGTATTAATCAAGGATCTCTCTTTCAATTTATACAGCTGTATGGGGATTTTCGAACAGTTGTTAGCTAAAATAACGAAAACCAGCATTGCCTATCGAAGATCTCAGATATTACCTTTATCATTTCACTGTTACAGATCACCTGATGAATGTAACCTTACCTTCATAGTCTCACGGATTAATTTACTTCTCAGAGGGCATCTAACTGACCTGAAGGATACGGATAACACAGTGTTTTTAGACGAAACTGACAAAGTGAAGTTTTTTGAATGCCTTGAACTTAAATCTTATGCTTGCCACGCCTTTCGCACCGAACAAGTGTGGGCCGCTTCGGAAATGGCTTGCGTTTCGAACAGTAACTGAGACTGATTGATCTTTAATAGTGGGTCCACATACCTGAACACGTTACTTTGATGTCTCAATTTGAACTTTATCCACTAAGTTACAGTCACCGCCTTTGGTGCCATCGCGACGTTAGTCTGACCGCAAAGAGTCGAGTTTACAACACTTAGGTGCGAGGAGTTCAGTCCTATGGCTCTGGAACCTGGCCTCTCTAAGCTGAGGATGTGTGTGTTCCAATAACGGTAATAATAATAATAATAATAATAATAATAATAATAATAATAATAATAACACAGTGACCGATAACCTAGATTTGAAACGGTTGCTGGTATAATTTTAGAGCCGGGAACTAAAACAATTTCGAGGATTTCGATTACTCACAAAACCATTAGGATAGAAAACATATGGACTTACAGTGAGACTGCTACTGCTCGTAAAATGTGGCAACCAGGTGGCAAAGTAAATGGCTTATAAAACTTATAAGTTCCAGTCTTGGTAAGTTCCTTCCGACTTTTCGCAACCATTGGCTTACTTCCATTGATTGTAAAGTAGATACCCACATTTGGAGTATCACACGTAAGCTCGAGATAAGTGTTTGTATCCAAGTGTGATTTATACAGCCCAGAGTCTGGACTCCTCAAAGGGATAATAAGCGGAGCACGGACAGCTCCAGCAGACATTTTACTACAAAAAATCCACATTAAAGGAGGGGAAATTTTAACCTATTAGAGATAAGAACCACTCAAGTAATTATTTTTTATTGAAAATGGAAAAAAGTACAAGTGTATATAACATCACAGCCAATGAGAAGACAAGCATTCACCAGTCCACACCTCACAGCAAACCCAACACCAGTCCAACCCACATAGTGAACAGTGAATATGGTTGCATCCACCAGATTTTTGCGTCGCGGACTTGCAACGGGGACACAGTTGACAAGTTTCATTGATGCACCTGCGACTTTCCATATCACCAGTTCTTAGTTTTAGAGACTTCCATATATAATTGCACATGGCAGAAGGATTTCTTGAGCCAGAGGATTTCTCTCCACAAAGACACTTTAAAGAGTTTTGCGAGCTACTGGAACCTAGGGACTTGCAGTGCCAGCCACAAGATGAACAAAACAGTGATCCACAACCCACGGGCGGCAAACAACGGTGCCAACCACGAGAGAGAGATAAATGGTGTTCATCATCTGTGACTTGCCAGTCAGTACCACAAGAGGGACAGAAAGTACTTCCTTTCAATATTAGGTACCTTTTCGCTGAATGCTCTTTATAGGTTGAATAAAATTCAGGACCCAAAATGCGAAAGTGATGAGGATCAGTGATGAATGAATTAGGGCACCCAGCAGGGCAACCAATAGTGTATCCGGCGTCATCAACAAACTGGAACATTCCGCCATGAAAATATTCTGTTGCATACTTCTTAAAACACTCAATACAGAGTGAGTGATTTTCATCGTCGCAAAAGCTAATTAAATTTTCCATCTCCGATGAGGCACATGCAGCACAGTCTACTCTACCAACATTCTGCTTGATGTGTCTTAAGAACACTTTTGATTCATGTGTAGGAGAAACCGGGCATGATAATCCTACAAAGGCCTCATTCGAGACACAAAAATCTGATAAACACTTTCCGTTACATTTTAGGGAGTTAGTATCGCATTTAAATGGGACAAAGACTGAATTACAAACGGAACAGTTAAAAGTAACAGTAGCAGCTCTAATATTTTCACAAGCATAACAAAAAATAAAGTATTGATTTCTCGGTGGTCTCATGTAAACATAAATATGACAATCAGACATAAGACCATAATCTATTAATTTAGTCTCTTCCTTCATAATCCGAAAGCCTTGTTGTGTCTCACAGGACAAAAAGTGGACATCAGGGTTAATTTTTAAATCTTGGCAGACTCTCTGTTTGAGGAAAAGCACATTCCACTGTTCATCTACATCATATCTAACAACGGAGTTATTGTAAACAGCAACCAAGAACATCACTTAGATAGCCCTCGTACTAAGCCTCGAATGTTAGTGAAGTAAAACGAAGTTGTTGATACAATAATTCATATTCTGATTGAGATACGGGGTATAACTAACAGCTTTCAGCGTCAAATTGCCAAAATCTTACCCCATTAAAATTAATTTTATTCTAGCATTCTGGGGTGTATTGTGCTACTCACATCTTGTCATTAAGCAAGGAAAACAGTCCTATGTCCAGAAGTTAGAAAGTCAGAAGGCAAGCTGTTCAGCAAGAATAAGAAATTTATTCTTTGATTTACTGATAGAATGTGTTGGAAGTAATAGCTCATATTTTGAATGTATGCTACTCAAATATCGCCGTCGAGACTTTCGTTATGGCAATCATTCTAAAAAAGAGAAGTTACATGTAACCAGACAGTTTCCTACAATATGTTTTCGGTGTCCAAACCTTTATTAAACAGTTGAGCAAGACTGAGATCAACTAACTATTCCTTTCTGATATGGATACGTCGAATGAGTTTGTGGTGGCAAACACCTAATAAGTTCAGCGATCTGTTGCAGTGGAAAATTGATACTGGATACACAACTTTTGGTTTTTTAACGGCGACTTTAATGGTAAATCGTATTTGGAAACTGGCAGTTTTCACCGCTCTTTTAGCATCACACACTTCTCCAGAATCACTTGATTAGGTTCGACGAGATTAAACGTTGATGCTGACCTTCATAGTTCAACTGGACTCGCTAAGCGGAAGGCAGCCGGTCAAGCAACCTTGCCATTCGTCACGCCGTTGTGTTGTGTTGCACTGCTCGTAATCGATCCTCTAGCTAGTTGGTTAGAACGCATCGGTATCTTGGCACGACCTTGTAAATATACCATTCCATCTGACTACGCTATTGTGTTCCTACTTGGTCTCGTATTCATGGGTTTATCGCAAGTTCGAATAGTCGGTGGTTGGCCTCTGCGTTTGTCAGTCTCCCACCAGGACAACCTCTAAGTTCTGACTCTAGGTTGTGAGCTTTAGGTCGCGAGCAGATGGCGTCTCTCTCTACGAAATGCTTCTTCGCAGTTGGCGGTACTGATCTACTAAGTGATGCACCTCTTAAAAGGAAGGTAGACGGAAATACGCACTCCCGAATTGCCGAAGTGTTGCTTTAGGCAGTGTTCAGACATTGAAACATTCACACTTGCTTGGCTGTATTAGTTTGCTTTCGTCTGGCCAACCACTGATTCGCTGTGGTACCTTGTGGTTAACTCACCTTGGACGTGGGTGGGCTATGACCTCAATAATTGCGTAATGCTGGGACGAAACTACTTCACTCACTTATGGCAGATTCTAAGTGTTTATGTTGTGATATTATAATCAATTTTGGAAATAAAATTTCGGTTCCAGAACTAGGAGTTAAGTTCGAGTATCGTTCCGGGCATAGGAGTTAACTCCTAGTGGCTTGAAGCTCTGTAGTCGTCGCATCCACAGTTAGGTAGCGCGGCTCCATTGAAAGCTACGTATACTTAATCCTTTTTCAAGAGCTTAACCCCAGAAGCAGAGTATCTCGAGACATGCCACCACCTCTTGTGGTATCAAAAGTGGCAGCGCAACAGTCGGGGAACATACTGTAGCCGCAGCACCGACCAAGCACTGAAGGCCCCTGCCCCATAAGGATGAAACCGGACAAACCTTGGGTCATTAGAGAGGCGTATAAAAAGACGTCACTTAGTGATATGGATAAACCTGCAACCATGATGATGCATGGAATGCCCAGACAGGTGGGTGGACCCACAAAGTGCGATAATCGCCCTCACAATGTAGAGTGGTGGGAGTAGTTAGCGGCAAAAATGGGACCTGGAAATTTGCCTGCCAGCGTCGTAAGCAGGTTACCAAGACCTGCGCACCTGCAAAGCTGTTTTTCGCCAGGGTTACTAGCTGTACGCTTGGACTTCGGAGCATCACTAAAAGAAGCTCTCACAGCATGGTACCGTGTAAAAGATTAAATAGGGGGAGCTTTACGATGCTACGAAAATAGAGCATGAGCTACCAGACCAGAAGATAGGAAGCAGCCTCCAAGAATGCCACAAACAGTGCCGATCACGAAAGAACCAGCTAGTGAACTACCTGTAAACATAAGTATGTATGATACCACCAGTAGGGACTGGCGGTCGGAATCCACTGAAGCAGCATGGAGCTGGGAGCAGTGTGCCACAATCTGTGAGCAGATATAATTCTCATCAAGAAGATATGGCTGTCATCAGACGCGTGGATGAGGAAATATCTTTGCCCAACTTCACCTATTCAAAAGTCAATGAAGCGATTGATGGTGTGTTTAGCTTCCCGCCAGACTCCTTACGGTGTTACTTCCCCATAAACCAAACTAAGTACTTGTCAGGAGTGGTATTCGGGCCTTCTCTTTGCACAACAGAGCATAAGGCACGGCTGCTCTCCTTCATTTCAACAAACACGTCGACGGCCTATGGCCATGTAGTTCTTACTGAAGGCTTTAGCACACCAGCACTGAACCCAAAATGTGAGGTAAGATGTGGACATGTCTCTCAAATATAAAGTTCGAAACACCTTCATGGTAGCGGGATTGATAGATAAGGTTGGGGAAAACACCGGATGAGGACCAGTTGGAAAAAGGTCGCCACTTGATTACGTTCTAACATACGATGGCCTTTTGGTGGAAGATGTCCGTGACCATGCCCCCAGGCAAAGGCGACCATAACTTGGTGAGATTCTCTCTGATAACCAAGGAGAAACTACAATTAGTTAAGCCAGAAGCGTTCTACTGCTACCAAAAAGCTAACAACCATCTCATGAACAGTGTACTCATGGAGGCTGCATGGAAACTGATGCAACCATAGGCAGATGGCATTACCTCCTGTACTTTCCAGGGTACTGGAAAGCCTGGTTCCAGATGTTGTTTGGGACTACCCGAAGGGAAAAAACATCATTCATCCCAACGAACACAGCTTCAGAAATTGATGGTCATATGCCACAAGCTTGATGACCGCTTGAGATGACTCGACCACTAGGTGGGACAACAAGCAACCCCCCTTCCATTTTTCCTTCTTGGACTTGGGCAAAGAGTTTGACAGCGTCCCACACTGTCATGCTCGCTAAATTTAAAAAAGTGGGTATCACTGGACTGGTCATCGCATGGTTCACATCACATCTAAAGGATAGAGAATTTTGTACTAAATTAAGCAGAATTCTGTCAACCTGGAGAAATGAAATCACAGGAATTTCTTTAGGAGCATTCCTTGTGCCCCTTCAGTTTTCACCGTTCATAAATGATTTTCCCACCCAAATCTCCCCGTCCGTCCTCCTGTTTGCCAACGGTATCAAAACATGGAGAACAATAAGTGAGAAAGAGAATCCTAAGATACTCCAAAATGACTTATTGGAGCTGGAGTCCTGGTCAGGAACAAGTGGTTTGAACTTAAGCCTGGAGAAATACAAGGTGATGTACCTTCACGTATCAGAGGCAATGAAAATCAGTCGCGTTCTTAACAAGTATGCAGTCGCCAGGGCATCCACATAAAACAATAATAATAATAATAATAGTATATTTCGAATAATGAATTATGCGAACACATGCCGTTTTTACTGGCAATATCTAAATGTTATTTCCATATTTAAGCTGTAAAAGTTTGGAAAGAAACATATCATCGTCTTCTTCTGGAGTAAACAACTGTCTAGATATTGCTGGTCACAGATGCTGGATAAAAGCGATATCTTTAAACAGCAGTGACGAGAATTAATGAGGGTAAAATCAGTCGGTATGAGAAGCAACAGTAAGTCATGAGATCTATAACAGCATGTTGCATATCACATGTTGAGAACAAATGAAACCGGAGATATTTCAGTATTCGATAAATGTGTAATGTCCACAGATGGTAAGCGAAACTGG